TATATATTANATATATATATATATATATATATATATATATATATATATATATATAGTATATATATATATATATATATGTATATATATATATTACTATATATATATATATATATATATATATAAATATATATATATATATATATATATATGTTTATATGTATATGTAAAAAATGATAGTAGTACTAATTTCCCAGGTTGTAACCTTTTTTTTTTGGACGCATCGTTGACGATCATTTAGCCTCTGTCTTGTTGTTCAAGGGATGTATGTATTTCGCAATACTTCTGATAAACTGTGAATACTTTCTCTGGGAGTCACATCATCCACCCACGCGTAGTCCTTACAAGCGCGTACCATGTTTTGTATACATACATCGGCAGGCAGTTATCTTAAGCCCAAACCCGCACGGAGAGATTAGGAAACGCGGTAACGTCATTCGTGTGCTTACGGTCATGTATTTATCTACTCGCTTTTTCTCTTGCAGGATTTCACCCAGTGCGATTCTTACATATCGGATTTCACCGCTATTGAGCACCCGATATGCAAACAGTAAGTCCAGCCTACTTTCCTGCTAGCTCTACAGTAAAGCGTGTGCTAGGGGGTCGTTGGGTGGCACACTGACTACCACAACGCACTGTTTAATTATTTTCTTCGAAGTAAAATAAGTAGGAGTGCGCTCTGTTACGTTTTCTCGTATCAGGCCTACTTCAAATGGTGGGAAATCGCGTTTATGTAGCTATGCAATAATAGTCTGCACACGTATGCGGTTATTTGTGTATATTGAATTTGGTGTCCAGGTATATTAATGATTGTGGAGTACTGTGGAGTATTGGAAAATACGATTGTGTATATGTAAATTATACATCGATTATAAATTTTGTGTGTGTGTACTTATATAATATATATATATATATATATATATATATATTGATACCAGTGTATATCATTACCTTAATTTCACCTCTCGTGCTCGTATACAAATTTTCTTTACAGATATGGCCTGAGGTCGTTTATAACGCTTACGAGAGATGATAACCAGGCTGTAAGCAGTACTCAGGCTCGCATGATGCTTTCTACACTCATGGTCGCGCTGGCCGACGAACTGCCTCACTTTCCGGTTTTTGCACAGGTTTGTAAACATACTGCTATATCATCAGAAAACGTTATTGTTGGCTCGAAGGCCGCATACATACAGTAAAGAAACTATATATTAATTTGCATGTATTTGAGCAGATAACCTGAGCTAGTCATTTCATTTGCGGTTATTTGATCAGATATTCTGACCTTTTCGCATATACTTTCCTGGGTATAGAATAGTTAGCTACCCAGTGCTGTGCATTTATCAAACGCGCGTGGACATCACCTTTTCTTCCTTATCCACACACTATCTCTCCCATACTACACCTGCCTTATAGATTGGATTCGGCAACGATTTTCGGTTCCAGGGCACATACATCCGACCTACCGATACCACTCACTTCCGGGATGCCTACCTACCAGGGACACCGCAGAAGTGTATGCTTGTGTCGCAGTTGGCGGATATGTTCGACCGAATGGACACGCGTGGCGGTACACAAATAAACGGCTCGCGATTGCCTATGCTCATCAGTGCACGAACCAGGTCAGCAGTGCGTGGGCATGTTGTTTGTGGGCGGGTCGGATTGGTGTCGAAGATGTGGGTAGGGAAACGGGACTAGGAAGTCTT